TCAAACACGAGGCTCAAGTGCAGGAATAAGTCTAGGCCTACTTGGAAAGGACAGGATGAAGCAATAAATGAATGTCTACTGTGTTCCAAGTATTAGGAGCTTTATAAACATCATATTTAAGCCTAACAACAATCTTCTGAAATAGGTACCAATTTTAAAGATGAGAAAACTGGGCCCGAAGAAATTAAGTTGTTAAATTTCACAGGCAATGCATTGTAGAGCCTGGATTCCAACCTCGGCAGTCCGATTCTGGAGCTTGGGTGCTTAGCCACTACCTTATCCTGCTCCACTGTACAGCCCCTGGTGTGGTGGGCTGTTTATGTAGCAGTGGTCAGAGGGCAACGTGGTTTTAACAGAAGAAGGGGCCTTGCACAGTGACTGAAAAATAGGCATTCTGAAAAGCCCAGGAGTAGATCAACTGTAAAAAGAGAAAAGCAAAAAATGTTTAAAGTTGAAGGAAAATTTTGTATCAAGGTAATTAAAGAGTCTTTGTACATTTTTAGTTTGCACGTACCAAGGAAATACAATTAATGATTTGCTCAGGCAAATAATTCCATTATTCATGCCATTTCCATATTTGCTGCAACTGTCCTTAATACAAATAATTATTTCAGTTTCACAGATCAGTAGGTTGATGCTAAAAGACAATTGTTTGTAATGTGTGCATTATTTTTAAATTTGGATGAATGGGAAAAAAGATGGGTAAATATCACATTTTTTGGACATAAATGAAAACACCAAACATGGAAAATTCAAAACTCATTAAAGATTTCTCTTTGTGAAGAGGCAATGGTCCTTGCGCATTACGGAAAACATGAAGACCATCACATAAAAGTTATGGCTCTGATTTAAAAATCTTCATTCCTATGTCCAAACGAATTTTGAGATAAACATCTGACCATTTCAATTCTAATAATCTATAGGAAACTCAATTATTTATATCATACAAAATGTAAAGTAGCTAAGTTATGTAATAACAGGTAAGTAATGTTCATAGGAACACACTTTTTAATAATTAAAAATTACCAACCCCCCATGTGTTCATCAATAGAGGAATAGATGAGTAAAATTAAAATATGGTGTAGTTGTACACTGGAATAGTATGGTAATAAAAGCATTGAGCCACAGGTATATGTGTTTTTCATATATATATATATATATGAAAAAGTTAATGTATAAAAACCCTGGACTTTGAAACACACCAAATTCATTAGGGTATTGGTCACAATGAAAGAGAGGAAAATTTCAAAGAAAATATTTTTATTAAATAATAACTGAAGTAAACATAATGAAGTATTAAACCATTGGTGAGATCAAGATTATATTATTTCTTTTAATTTTGAGTACTTTAAAATATTTATAATTTAAAATCAACTACTTAAATATTTTAGGCAAAATGTATTTGGAATAAATTATTCAGAAAATTATTTCAATTTATCATAATATTCAAATAGTCAATCTCTTAAAATTTATGATAATCATAGTCTTATTAAAAAAAAGGAATATAAACCTCTCTGAAGATTTCAAGATGACCAGACAATATTGGATATTCTATAGGATTTAATTCAGGAAAGAAAACTGGAAATTTCAAGCTTTCATGAGCTTAAACCTCAGTTTTATTTTGCACATTCTTATTTGTACTAAAAAAGTGCAATTTTGTCTCCTAATAGAGACTGTCCCTCAGAAGTCAATACTGGCTTTTCACTGTGAGTGTGCGGAAACGTACCAGTTACACAGCTGAGACGAAACAAACAGAAAATACTTAAGCACAAAAAGATCTCGAATCTGAAAACCCACTTACACTGAGATCTTATGGCTATATTTAATCTGCTAGAAACTTAACCAGGAGCCAAGGTGTTTTTAATGGCATCCCAGGTGAAAATGGATGTTAAAATTCATTGAGTCCAACCACTCTTCCGAAGCACGGGAAGACAAGTTGAAAGCAAATGGTTGGGACTCTTGGGTCTCAGTGCTTCTATCAAGGAAATGGGAATAAGATTACTTGTTCTCAATCAGTAGATTGCTGCTCCTCCCCACCTCCTAATCTGTTCTCCTTTCTATAACCTTAGTGATCATTTTAAAATACAAATCTGGTCAAGTCACTCCTCTGCTTAAAACTCCTCAATGTCCTTTGTTGCCCTTAACTTGACTTATTAGCTTTGGCTGGTCTGACTTCAGTTTAACCCTTCATCTTCATGTTGACCCATTCCTTCTTGTGCTTTAATACTCTAATCGGAATTTCTTGACCTCCATACCAGTCTACTTAATTGTTTACTTGGATACATCTACCATTTAGTGTGTAGTCTCATTCACAAGGGCAGAGATCGTATTTACGAGATTCATTATTGTAACATTAGTACCTATAATAGTGCTTAGAATATAGTACATACTCAACAAGTATTTGTTGAAAAAAGGGAAGGAAGAATATAAGAAAAGAGTAGGAAAAGGGTTATTTAAGGTTAGACTAAATAGGTTTATAAAGCATTAGTAGGAATTACATGATTTGGTGCCAATCAGAGAAATGATCCCTACATCGCAGCTCAATGTATCTTTGGCTCCATTGTTTTTGGGGAGATGGAAGGGAGACAAAAAAAGAGTAAAATGCTTTGATGCTTGCAGTGGTTGAAATGATTCAATCCTTCAGGTCTACTGATTAAGGAACATCACAAACTCAATTCATAGGAAAAAGATTTTCAAAACTCAGAGGCAGCACCCAAACGCACAGACTCTCAGTGGCTTGTGGGGTTTCCTTTATTGGTCACCTGTAAACAAAGCCAGCCAGAGCTGTGATGACTAAGTTCAGGCCATAAACTTCTCAGACAGTTAATTAATTCTTCACACATTATTTTATTATTTATTTATGAATTTTGTTTATTTTATTGTCTTTATCTTTATTGTTGAAAATATTACAGATGTCCCCTTTTTACCCCCACTGATCCCCTCCACCCTGCATTCATTCCACCCCCAGGCCTTCCCTAGACCAGGGTCTGTATCTATGGATTATGCTTATAAACATTTAAGTTCCTTGATTAATCTCTCCCCACCCACACCCCCTCTCTATCTTCCCTCTGAGATCCCTCAGTCTGTTCCATGCTTCTATGTCTCTGGATCCATTTTGTTCATCAGCTTATTTTGTTTATTATATTCCACATATGAGTGAGATCATGGGGCACTTGTCTTTCTCTGACTGGCTTATTTCACTTAGCATAATACTTTCTAGTTCCCTCCATGCTGTTCCAAAGGCTAAGCGATCCTCCTTTTTTATAGCTGCATAGTATTCCATGGTGTAAATGTGCCACAGCTTTTTTATAAAGTGAGTTTTCATAGCAGATGTAAATCTACACTGTGTTACACAAACATTAAACATAAGTATCAATACCATGATGAGGAAAATCACAACCATGGTAAGAGGATACATAGTAAGAAGATACACAAACATAGTTGATCTTCAGAAACTTTTCCTTAACTCATGGTCTGAGCATAGTGTCAGAATTACCAATTTAGAACGGTTTCCAAAATTCAACTTAATATGGAAATTGTCCAATCATCTATATTATGCCCAGAGTTGTGCTAGGAAATGGGTAGAAATTTAAAAGAGGCAAAGTCTATAAAAATACCCTAAAAACGACAGGTAAGTCTTAAGCAACTTTCTCTTGATTTTATATTTGTAATTTCAGGATCTTTTCTCATCTGCTCCTCAGGAATCTGGAAATCCAGCTGATCTGGAAAAATAATCTAAAACACTAACTTCCCTCTGTATAGATGAGGTATCAAAAGCTTCAAAGTATCACTATTTTGTTTATTATAACAATCAATTTTTTTACCTATATATTCAGATTTTCTGCTTGAGGGTTTTTTGGTGTTTTGTTTGTTTGTTTTGTAGCCACGTCAATAAAACATGTCCATGCTCACCCTGACCAGCGTGGTCAGTCGGTTGGGCGTCACTCTGTGCACCGAAAGGTCGCCAGTTCAGTTCCCGGTCAGGGCACATGCCCAGTATTTCAGGCTCGATCCCCAGGAGGGAGCAGGCAGGAGGCAGCCGATTGATGTTTTGCTCTCACATTGATGTTTCTTTCTCTCTCCCTCTCCCTTCTTCTCTCTCTAAAAAAAATCTTTAAAAAAAAGCCAATGATCACTATTTCTACTTTACAGTTTTACAATAACTTCTAAGTCACCTGAATCATGGCACTAATTCAATAGCTTGCACACAATGCCTAGCAGAAAGCCAAAGACTAACAGGGATGAGATAGTCATTATAGTTTTGCTATTCTAGAGAAGTCCATCTTATTAATGCATTTATTCATTAATTTAATAAATATTTATAGAGTGCTTATGATGTGCTAAACATTTTAGCATAGAATGACACCTAGCCAACTGACCACGCTAAAATGCTGGGTATATAATCATGAGCCAAACAGAGGTGATCTCTGCCCATATGGAACTTAATATCTAGTAGGTGGGATGACATCTACCAGGCACAAAATAAAGATGAATTCAGCTGTCAAAAACGTGTAGAATTGTCAAATAAGACCTTTTTGATAAACAGAGCTTGAAGTTTTTACTCTGTACGCAGTATATATTTCACTTGGGAGAGTCCTTATTTTTATTCATATTAAAAACACACACAGACAGCCTTCTCTCTCCTATTCCTTTGACTTTCATAAACCTTGAGAAACATTTCAAAAATATCAGGATTCCCAGTGTCATGCAGACCCTTACCCTTCGCTCTCCTGTATTTTAAGCAGGCGTCCCTCAGAAGAACAGAGGCTGTGGGCCACGGCAAACCTGTATGCGCCTCTCAGTCAAGCCAGGTTTTCTATGAACTATCTCAGGGTGAAAATAAAAGTTTGTGTCGCAGCTGTAATCTTTCAGACGGGGGTGATCTACTCACATTTTCATAGATAATAACAGCAGCAAGAGAAAGAACAGGGTCTCACAAATGACAGGGTGTTAGCTCAAGGCAGCACCGAGGACAAGGGGGGAGACCAGAGAACACTTACTGGTAAGTGGTGGGGCTGACGTTGATGCGCCGAGGGTGGCTCCCCGATTCGAATTTGCTTGCCAGGGTGACATTATTTCCAAAGAGGCAATATCGTGGCATTCTCACCCCAACCACTCCGGCCAGCACGGAGCCTGAATGAATGCCTATCCTCATCTAAAAACAAAAAAAAAAATAAGAAAAGTAAAAGGATATATTTATGCTTTCATTTGCTATACAATTATTTTAATGAGAAGTACTGCTAATTATGTAAACCATTAAACCACAAACTCCTCCAAGACCTTGGCCATATTTGTGATCCCAATATCTTTTTAAACATGGATGCTGTGCAATAAATGAATAAATAGATTTATTATAGGAAAAAAACCTACATTTAATTTGCTACATAAATCTAGTTACGTTCCAAGTCAAGTCAGGTTTCATTTGTACATGAAATGCTCTAATGCATGAAAAACGTATTATCCTCCTGCCGGTTATTTATTCTCACATAAAACCCTATTTCTCCTCCACAGCATTAAATACAATTATCAATTAAATATTTATATTTGTTTATTTTAATTCAGTGTTGGATTTTTCCCTTGAGAGAAGGATCCATATCTATTTCCTTACTGCTGAATATTCAACACTTAGTTCTGTACCAAGAGCAAAGCAGGCACTCGGTAGTAACCGGTGAATGTTGAATAAATTGCCTAAATTCCACAACAGTATTAAAATGGAGTTCTAGAGAATTCAGCCCTCGAGTCTGTCAAGAAGAGTCGACTGAAAACCCTGAAGAGTAGAACAAGTGCTGCACATTTTATTCTTGGAGAACCTGATAAATGTAGTCTGGTCCATACCTCTAAGGAGCCTTCAATGGGAGGTTAATATGCACTTAAAGTTTCAATAATGGAAGTCGTATCTACATGATCTACACCAACATAACCAAAGCTAATGGTTACCAAGCGGAAGATGCCATCTTTATTTCTAGGGGAGTGTTGGTGACTCTGGGAGAGGGGGAAATCTGACCCCTAGATGTCCACTACATAGTCAGTGTCAGTGTGTTCCTTACCCCGTGTGCTATTGCCACTATATTTGTTAGATAAAAAGTCACTTTTAGGCTAACTCTTGTCATGAGATTGGAGACTTCTTCATGTAACAACCCATAATAAGACAGGTTAAAACCAATGTGTTCTATCTGAGGTCCTAATCACCTCATCATCTACTCTTAAAATATATTTAGAAATTCAATATACTAGGAAGAACCAAGATACACTTGAGAAAGAAGAAAAAGTTGAAATATTTGCCCTATGAGATATCAAGTCTTTGTATAAACATATCTAATTAGTACATAGATATCATAATATTGATGCATAGAGATATAGACACTGGAGGGCTCTAGGGGAGAGATCGACAGCAATACAGTCATAGGAGGGGACTTTAACACCCCACTGACTTCACTGGATAGGTCTTCCAGACAAAAAATCAAGAAGGAAACAGTGACTCTAAGTGACACACTAGATCAGATGGATTTAGTTGACATTTACAGAACATTCCACCCCAAAGCTGCAGAATAAGCTTTCTCCTCAAGTGCACATGGGACATTCTCAAAGGTGGACCACGTTAGGACACAAAACCAGTCTCTACAAGGTCAAGAAGATTGAAATCATATCCAGCATCTTCTCGAACTTTTACACCATGGAATACTATGCAGCTGAAAGAAAGAAGGAGCCCTTACTCTTTGAGACAGCATGGTGGGACCTGGAGAAGGTATTATCTTAAGTGAAATAAGCCAGGCAGAGAAAGGCAAGTGTCACATGATCTTACTCACATGTGGAATCTAATGAACAAAATAAACTGATGAACAAAACAGATCCAGAGACAAAGAAACATGGAACAGACTGAGGGATCTCAGAGTGAAGGCGGGGAGGGGAGAAATTAACCTAAGAACTTATATGCATATAATAAGCATTCATTCATATCCAGTATGAAACACTATGATTGTTAACTTTTACTAGGAAAATAGTGGTCAATTTTATTTATCTTCTCATAGTATAAGGGCTGGGGAGTTTTCTGGTTCTCACGCCTTATTCCACAGATGTGGAAACTGAAACACAAAGCGTAAATGGCCTGGTAAAGTTAGGATTAGAGCCCCAAAAGAAATATAATTCTCATGACTTCTACTGCATTAGTCTTTCTATCATTATATTTTGGCAGTTCTCTTTCTTAATCCTTTATTTTTCATTTTTAAAGGAGAAAACTGCATAACGATAATTTATGTTTATATAAACCTGCTTAAATAGAGTTATATACCATCATTAAAGGAAGGGAATAAGGGAAAGTGTTTTCTGAGAAAAAATTTTGAAAAATAACAGAAAGCTAAAATAAAATTCAAATACACACAAAATCAAATGGATATCAAACTGTCATAACCAAGCATAAGGAGACATAATTACTAAAGGTAATGTGGTAACTTAGATGGGATCTTGAACAAAAAAAAAGGACATTAGGTAAAAATTGAGAAAATCTGAAGAAAATATAAACTTTAGTTGATAGTAATGTAATCATAATGGTTCATTAATTACAAAAATAGCACCATATTATTGTTTAGGGAAAACTGGATGTAGGGTATTCGGGGACTCTCGGTATTATTTGTGCAATAATTCTGAAAATATAAAACTGTTATAAAATAGTAAAAAAATATTTAAAAATGTAAGTCATATGCTCCTCCACCAATAAAAAGACAAATTTACAAATGTTTCTTACCTCTAAAAATGTTTCTTAGTTTTAAATTCAGGCAGTAAAAACTAACTCAAGGGATTGTGATGTGGAATAAAAGAATTTAATGTGATAATGTAAAAATTAATAATTCACAAATATTAGAAAGAAATGAACCAACCAACCAACCAAAGGGCAGTAGTCCTAAATCCTGTTGTATATTCCTGTTGTTCCCAACATTTACTCCATTTGGGCGTTAGATGGCGCTCACGCTCATTTTACTGAGCAGGTTGGCTCCTTAATATCAGCAATAGATTTCTCAGCTCAAGATATGTACGAAAGATTTGGCCCAATATTAATTTGGGGGGTAAACTGTAAAAACAAAGTTGACCCTCATAATAAGGTTTAAATAAACCTTGGCTTTGGTGGCAAATTTTAAAAAATGAACAAAACTGGAAATGAAGAAATCATTAAGCAAGATTCATAAATTCCAAGGGGTCCAATGGTAGACTAGACCTCAAGGCATCCGAAGATCCCCTGAACTTGTATATGTGTGTGTTGTATCGACAATGTACATCAGCTTTTCAAAGGAGCCCATGGATTCCACAATATTTTAGAACCATTACTTTATTTACCCCTTTCGGTTTCAAATCATTTCTGTATCTTCAACATCTACCACTGAATTGTGCATTTAGTACACATTCTTAAAATCTTATTAAATGTATAAATATGTGATTGGATCAGGAGAATGAAAGGAAATTCTATGCTGAGCAAAACTGTCGGCCTTTCTTTGCTCTAAATACCTGCAGCACTGTGTTTTTACCATTCAAGTCACTGGCTATTCATTCATGTTTGTGTCCTTCATCAATAGTTGCAAACTAAGAGCGTTTAAAGCACCTTGTAAACAAGAAACCTTGATCAATGTTTTACACCCGATCCTACTTCTGCTTGTCGCACTAGTCCAATAGTCGATAAAGTAACATCCCAGACCTCAAAAAATTGTATCTTTAGATCCTCCCAAATCTGACTAAAACTTACATGAAAGTAGTTAATGGCTGCAATAAATAAGTAAATAAATAGCTTAGTCACTGGGGTTAAAATCACTCCTCAAAACTTAAAATTATTCTTTCTGCTTCAGTCCACCTGTGACATTTCTATTTTGATGGTGTCCTCTAGTACAAAATAAAAGAATAATAGATTCTCACGAATCAGTGAGTCCATGGACTAGGCTGTCATCTGATTTAATAAAGGCACTGCTTTTAACCGAGGCTTTGAGATCTTGAAGTTTGAAATTATAGGTTTTGTAGTCTTTATTTGTAATTACCATGCTATTGATCCCATCCAAGCAAACAAAAGATAAAAAAGTAGGAAACTTTCTTCTTCAAAATGAGAACTCGATAAATGAAGAACTTAACACAATATAATCATCAAAGACCATTCTATGTATCTGTGCGTGTGTGTGTGTGTGTGTGTTCCACACAATGTCAATTTTAAGGAATCTCTTAGTACACAGACTCCTAAAACAGTGCTTGTGTACTGATTTATTCTGTTTTGACCCCATGCCCCTGATGCATGAATTTCAGAATAAGAAATCTGTAGTTTTAAACAAACCAATCTCTTTATTCAAAAATAAATTTCTGATTGTTACTTTGTGTTATTAATGTGCGACTTTATAAAACTAGTAAAATATATACCATTACTTTGATGTATTTCATTATGATACCAACTCACCTGCAGACCCCTGAACACACCAACCTGTTTTTCTGCCCCGGGTACCTGCTCAGACTGCCTTCCACCACTTCTCTGGGTAATTCCACCATTTTCATGGGCCCAGCTTTGCCATCATCTCTGCCCCATGCCTGTGCATAAGTTGTTCCCCTGCTTCCCTCATTTCTTGATCTGTCCTGATGGCTTCTCACCTTTTAGACCACAGCTCAGAAGTCCCTTTCTCCAGGAAGCCTTTCGTCAGGAAGTTAGGTGTCCCTGGTATCAACTGTGTTCACTGTGATTCCCTTCTCCCACCAGTCACTACGCTTCATTTTCCTTCTTTTGTCATTCATTACCTGTCTCCTCTGCTTGGTGCTAACCTCTGGAAAAACATGGATAACCTCTATCTTACTGTGATACCCCAGCACCTACCAGAACCTTCCTGAACATAGATAGTGGTGTCTCAATAAATACTGAAGAGAAATATGAATGTGAACCACTTCTTTAAAAAAAAATCAGGAGATAAACTAATAAGCCTTTGGAAATGGATTTTTGGAATGTATTTTGTTTTCTTCCACTGTTCTTCTTCATTTAAAAAAAAATGTTCTAAAAAATAGTTTTAAGTAAAGAATAATTTGCCAGAAACTTGCTTAAGGTATGTCTCCATTCCCTTTCATGCTACCAAGTTAAAAATAACCACATGAACAAACAAAACAAGCCGGGGCAAGTGAAGTGAGTGTATCCGAGCAGCGACA